AGTGCAGGCTGATCATGGAATGCTCTGGACAAGGGCCTAGAATGACAGGACAAGGGGAATGGCTTCCCAGTGACAGAGGGCAGGGTTAGATGGGATATTGGGAAGAAATCCTCCCTGTGAGCATGGTAAGGTCCTGGCACAGGTTGCCCAGAGAAGCTGTGGCTGCCCCATCCCTGCAAGTGTCCAAGGCCAGGTTGGACAGGGCTTGGAGCAACCTGGGATAGTGGAAGGTGTCCCTGCCCATGAAATTTTTCCTAATCACTCAGGGAGATAGTTACCAAACACATGAAGGTCCCACAACTCCACCCAGGTCTGGTACAGCCCTGGGCTCCCCCCTGCAAAGCCAGAGGATGTGCTGTGCCCCCCCAAGGCTCCCCACACTCCCCCATCCATGATTTATTATTTCACCCTCTGCAAAGCACCGGGCTGGCTTACTCTGGGAGGATTCCAACTCCCTATTGATCACCAGACTGCTGCTAATTAACTGCCCTCATGAGAACTGGCACCAAGGGGAACCTCCCACTCCTTGAAACCTCAAGTCTTCCACAATTACAGGGTACGATCGACCGACAGCAAAACAGAGACAGGACTGCTACTGCCATGTACAACAGTGGCTCTTCACCATTCCCAGTCCTGAGCTCCCAGACAAACACCTGTCCTTAGGAAATCCATATTCACTCACGTCCCAACTCACAAATGGGGAGGAGATGGCCTGGGAGGCAGATGACAGGTAACCACGAAAAGGTGGAAGTTTTAAACGTGAGGGGCTGCATCAATCGCGGTGGTTCCCCGAAATGCAGACTGCAGGGAGCTCTGCAGGGGTCTTGCCAAAGCCAGAGCACGAGCTGGTCCAAGGCCTTTCCTCACAGTTCCATGAAAAAGAGCAGAAGGGGCAGAACTGCAACACTCAGCCCAGCACAAACAAGGGGCAACATGAACGTTCTCAGCACAAACACTTTGGCAACAGCAGCACAGAGGAGGAGCCTGGAGATAACACCTTATCCACAGTCCTCGTCCTCTGCACAGCAGCAAATCCACCCCCCTGCACAGGAGAGCAGGAGGAAACGTGGGATGGGGGGGAGCAGCTCGCCCAAGGTCAGCAGAAACCTCCCCCACAGCCACCACATCTCCTCTCACCACGGGATTTATCAGCTCAGGATCCCTCGGCAACCCCTCGGCTCTGCCGGTATCCAACTCCTTCAGAAGAGGTTAGAGAGTCACCACACTTCCACTTTGATCCCTTCCTGTGTTTTCCCTGTAGAGAGCAGCTTCAGTTTAAAATGTGCAATGCCAGTAGTAGAATCATAAAATCCCAGAATGGTTTGGGTTGGAAGGGACCTTAAAGCCCATCCAGTTCCACCCCCTGCCATGGGCAGGGACACCTTCCATTGGCCCAGGTTGCTCCAAGCCCTGTCCAACCTGGCCCTGGACACTTCCAGGGATCCAGGAGCAGTCACAGCTTCTCTGGGCAATCTGTGCCAGGGCCTCCCCACCCTCACAGGGAAGGATTCCTTCCCAATATCCCATCTAACCCTGCCCTCTGGCAGTTTAAAATCATAAACCGTGAAGTAAGTGCTGATCACACAGAGAGACCAGTCAGAGGAGAGAGAAAAACACACACAGAGCCCTCCAGTGAGGAGCAGGGAACATCCATCCCCTCTGGAAAAACCAGAGGTACAAAAGCCAACAGGTACCTGGTTCCTGGGCTGCCGCTCCTGGCCCAGAGGTTTTCCTGTTTTCCTCACTGGCCTGGACATAGAAGCAAAATGACTCCAAGGCCTGAGCAGAGGTGATCTTGTTCTCCAGGGAAACAGGAGCTTGCTTGCCCAGCACCCCCAGCCAGCTCTGGACCACGGGGATGGAACCAAAACAGAGGCTTTTCTCCCCAAAGCCACCTTTCCTGCAGTCAGGGCTCCAGCCCCTCTGCAGCCTCAGCATTAATGAGTGATCATTGATTAGTGATCAGCCTGATTGGCAGCAAACAAACGCCAGGGAACCTGGAGGGGCTCTGGAGAGGCAGCTCTTGACAGCGCCTGCTAATGAAGTGCCCTTCAATTAAACCAGCCAGAATTAGAAGCTGGAATCACTTCCCAGCTGGAAGCAGCTCCCTGCTCCCCACAGACAGGGCCATGTGATCCACGGGACAGAGCCAAGGCTGCAGGAAGGGCAAGACTGAGCTACAAAGATTGGAAGCAAGGGCTCCTCAAGGCAGTTCTGTCACAGCTCCCCAACCCTCATTCCACAAACTCCTTCCCCAGATTCCTGCCTGGACATAAATCCAGCGAGGCAGCACCCGATGATCCCTCCACTGTTGTGGAGCTGTTTCAGGGGCAACGTGGCTTAAAGAAGGAATTCAGTCACCTGCAACACAACAAGTCTTCATTTTTATTGAGTTAGTAAGGTCTCAACTGCTCCCGAGCTCAGCGAGCTATAGAAACCCTCCTCTCTCCCAGCCAGAGCAGCCTGTCCCGGGAAAGTGCTGGATGCATCCAAGGAATCCCATCGCCAGCGCACAAGCAGCATCGCCCAGTCACGGTGAGATTTCTCCTGGCACCACAGGCCTTAAATCAGCTCCACCAATCCACCAGCTCCACCAATCCACCAGCTCCCTGGAAAAACTGAACCCGAGCGCGGCGGCGCCGGGGTTTGGTTGGGCCGGGGTTAGAAACGCCACGCAGAGGCTTGGAAAAAGCAACACGGCTGGAATATAAGCAATACAATTTTAATTCTGACCAGTCACCTACAAACCCCGTGTCTTTCCACTGTTCTGATGGCATTGGTTAAATAGCACATCCGTGACATCGCTTGGGGGGGGTAGGGGGTAGGGGGGGGGAAATGACACAAAGATACAGACATTATGATACAATAGTACAAATGATAAATTATTTATACAGTAAATAATGTCAATAAGTCAGCACAAAGTCGTAAAAAGCAGCCGGCTCCCGGGATTATGAAAAGTTTGGTAAATATTGAAATTGTAACACTTGTGAAGGAAGCGAGTCGTCGTGAGCTTCTGCTGTGAAAAATAAAACCACCTATTTCTCCACAACCTGTGCAATATTCAGACGTACAGTACACGTTAGAAACTGTAACAGCAAAGGGGGAGATGGGGAACAAGAGTTGTCTTGGCTACGGGACTCCAAAAAGACTGTAAACAATACAGCCCACCACGGTTTTTCCTTCCCTGTCCCCTCCATGGAGTTTAGTTTCTCTATAGTATAAAACTGAATAAATAACTGAGCTTATTTGGGGGGTAAAATTACGCCAAGGGTGGGTTGTTGGTTTATTTGGGTTTTTTTTTTTAGTTTTTTTTTTTTTAGTTTTTTTATTTTACAAAATATTTAACACTTTTCTCTTTGGTCAATTTGACCAGTAAGGCTATTTTGGGCTACTAACTTTTTTAAAAAAAAAAATCAAGAAAAAGAAAAGCACTTTTAGTATTTGCAAGTTGAGAAAAAGAAGGAGAAGAGGGGGAAAATGAGCTTGGAGAAATAGGGCAGAGCGGATGTGATGGGATACACACATGTCCTCCATGCAGGAACATGGGAGGGCGAGGAAGGGGGAAGGATTATCCTGGAGAGGAGTTAAATGATCACAAAAAGAGATGGACAATTTGGGGCACACCCAGGCAGAACCCGCCTCAGTGCCACCCACTCCTGCATGAGGTGGGGACACGGCCCAGCCCAGCAACAAAGATTTACCAAACCAGCCCTTCCTCCTCTTAAACTCATCTCCTGCCACAAGCCCTGTGCCAGGCTGGGCTCTGGGCTTGGTTAGTCTCAGCCTAAAGCTTTACAGCACCAGGATTTGGGCTGTGGCTCCTCCGAGAGCCCTGCCGTGGTTTGTTGTGCCTTAAGTGTCTCTCTCCATATTTAATGTATATTCAATTAAAAGGAACACGGCTCTTGGAGAAGTGACTTGGTAAAAGCAACAATTGGCCAGTCAGCAGTTTCACTAAGCCAGGGCTCCCTACCAGGCCCACAGCACAGTTTTATCAAGTCATGTAGATTATTTCATCACTTTAAATGCTTACTCTCAACCCCACCTTCGCCTCCAAAAAGTTACCCAGGATGTGGTCAGGACTTCTGGCTGAACAGTGCCCCATCCAACTGCAATTCAGGAGACACACTAAGGGAAAAAAACATCGAGTGGCCTCGATTCCACTGTTGAGAAAATCAAACTGGAAAAATAAATCTTGCCACAGATCAGCTGGAAAGCACTTCCCCCCCCCCCATCTGCAAGAATCACACCCTTCCTGGTCTACACCTCTCAGTAACTTCAACAACAACAAAAAGTAAAGTCTTTTTTCCTTATTCTGAAAGGCAACATGAATGGGTTTTGTTTTGTTTTTAAAGACATACTGGCTGTGGACAGCAATTCTCTTTCCTCCTATATAAAAACGAGAGCAGATGAATATTGGGGCTCCTCCTCGCCAATTCCACAGTATCCAAGAGGATCCCACAATCTGCATAGAAACATCCACACACTTAGCATTCCGCACACTAACAGAGCTACACTGACCTACACAGCTAAAATCTGTGATTGTACCCTAAATTTGATAGTCTCTCAGCCTCCCCTTCCCACCAGGAGACAGATCCCAGTCCCTTCCGGCGGCACACGGCTCCGGCACGCCACGACACACAACTCTGGCCACTTCTTTGTGGTTTGTTCTCTGGTTTTCCACCCCCCCTCCTAATCAGGGAAAAGGCCACCAAGATGCACCAATCCATGCAGAGATGCCCCCAAGGCAGGAGCGAGCGCTGGGCCATCCCTGCCCACTGGGCCATCCCTGCCCACTGGGCCATCCCTGCCCACGGATATTTGGGAGCAGAGTCGGCCACGCTGTGCTGGGTCTGCACCAGAACCCCTGAGCGTGGGGCGGTGCCGAGGAGTCCAGACATGCCAGTGAAAAAGGGACAGTTCAGCTCCCAGGGAACAGTTTTTCTCTGGAGTGCACCTTCCATCGGGAAAAATTAGTCGATAAAATTAAACGAGTCGGGGTTTGTACATCAGGATTTTTAACAGCTCAAGAAGTATTACAAGGAAAAAAAAAAAACACACCACCAGCCTCTCTTGTGATGTTGTTCATCAAGGCTAAAAGTCTGTCCAGTCTGGGGGGGGTCAGGAAACGGGAACAAATCAAGGGAAAGGCGACTTTAGTGTTTTTTCTTTTTAATGTAGTCTTAAATCATGTTACGCTCAAATTCAATTCTTCTAAAAATAATTAGTCACGAGGATTTGTTTTTGATTTGCATTATGAATATTTCATTTAAAAGTAAATATTTTAGTGTTAATCTTCCCTTTTAAACTCTCTTTACAGAAACAAAGAGCTAAAACCATAAATAAGAGGGCATTAAAACCATAAAAATGACATTTGCCAATATCTTAATTTTTTCAGCCAGACTTGATAAATCTATCAAAACCAGACAGTTAAATAAGAACCACATTATAAAAATTAGCAAAAAAAGGACTATTAGGTAACTCTGCAAACTCAAATATGAAACTGTACTAAACAAAATATGTGCAAAAGTATACAAGAGTAACTGCATATAGCAAGGTTAAGCCTGAATTAGTTTTAAAGCTTGCCCCGGTGAAACTGAATTCATTGTCCCACTGTATTTCATTTTTTTTTGTCCTTTTTTTGTCTTTTCTTTTTTTTTTTTTTTTTCCTTTTCTTTCAACTCACATTGTAAGTCAAATAAAAACAAAATACACATGGAAAAAACTTCCAAAGAAGCTGGTACTGGACAAGCACAGAGCAGGACACTCACTCAGCACGAGTGCAGCCACTCACAGAGAGTTCCAGGAGTCCTTAGAGTAGTGTACAAATTCAACACTGCACGACAGCACACGGCATATCGACAACTCGAGCGTGTTCTTGGGTGTTTAGTCTGGGGTTTTTGTGTTATTTTCCTTTAGAGACAAGCTTGTTTTCTCGGTCACACCTCAGATACCACAAGCAGTGCGAGTTCGCAATGTTTTAATGCATAAAAACCAGCCACCTGGGCCCTCCGGATCGTTCTCTTTCTAAGAGTAAGGACTATGGGTGAACCAACAGTCTAGAACTGTGTGTAGTTATGTGCAAAACATTCACTAGCACTCGGAATCTCAGGTCTATCATATGGGCATAGGAAGTGACAGATGCAGGTAAATAGTAATTTCAGGATCCAGCACATGATCTGACATCTACAAAATAGCCAACGGAGTTTAAAATGGCAGGTTCTCTCCCTAGAAAGTGTATTGAAATGATTAACAAAGTAACAAAATGGGCAGAAATCTAACTTTGGTGAAAAGTCTGAACATTTTCACATGATGCTCAACAAGCCAAAGTAAGGTACCATCTGTAGCAAAGACTAGATTTAGATTAACTGGTAAGTAGAGACAACTCTTCAAAGATCATAACTGTAAACTGCAAATCTACTTCCAAGTCTCTCACACACCGTTCAGTCCACACAGGCCACGTTCGTTCCGCTGTAAAGACTTCAGCCTGGAAACACTAGGAAAAGAAAAGTTCCTTTAATTGGGTCTTTATAGGAGGAAAGGGTTAGTTGTATTTGCAGACTGGGAGGCTGACGGCGGGATTCCTGTACTGTGGAGAGGTTGGGGCATTGATCCTGCAATGCTCAGCCCCTGGCCCATCCTGGTGATGGAGGCCACGGTGCCCATCGCCGGGAGCGGTGCCATTCCCACGGGCACGGGGGCCATGGAAGACAGAGGTATTGGCTCCATGCTCATCGGGGGCACGGCACTGAAGGAAGGGCTGGTTCCCATCACGGGACTCGCTCTCATCTGGTTCAGGGTGAGCGGCTGAGGCTGATTCACCTGGAAGGGGTTGATTGGAGTCGGGGCTGTAGCGGCGCCTGGTTTGCAGGGAAGAGGGAAAGAGATGGCACTGACATCAACACCAGGGTCTGGCAATCGTCTTTTCTGGCCAAGAATGTACCCTTTGTTCATTCCCATATGCTCCCAAACCCAAAACACCCCGGGGAGAACCTGCCTGCATGCCATTCACCAAATTCCCTGGTGCACCAGTACAGTCTGTTTCCTCGAACCCATCACTCCCACAAAACATCCCTTCCCTGACCAACAGTTTCCACTTCTGATAGACAGAGATGTTGCAAATTTGGTTACCTGGAACATGCCTAACCATGACACCCAGGTCTCTAATTTACAGTTTTTAAATGCTATTTAAAATTTGCATTGGGGAAGAGACCTGCAGGCTCTGTGTGTTCCTTTACTGCAGATTAAACTGATAGAGAGTAGGGTTTGGATATTGGGAAGAAAATCCTCCCCGTGAGGGTGGGGAGGCCCTGGCACAGGTTGCCCAGAGAAGCTGTGGCTGCCCCATCCCTGCAAGTGTCCAAGCCCAGGTTGGACGGGGCTTGGAGCAACCTGGGCTAGTGGAAGGTGTCCCTGCCCATGGCAGGGGGTGGAACTGGATGATCTTTAGGATCCCTTCCCAACTCTTCTGTGATTCTCTGATTTGCACATTTGCCTCACAACCTCACCAGCCAACTCCATTTTCGTGTTTCTGGCACCGAGTTTGGACAAGAATTCACAAAGTAAACAACTTGTTTCCGAATTGCAGCGGTGCTAGAAAAAGCAGAGAGTAACTTTCCCAGCGTTTGAGGTTCCCTGGATTGCTGCCAACCCTGCAAATTCCTTTTACCATCCGTGCACAGCGTTATTTGGATGGCCCAGTGACCCCTCACAAACTTTTTGTAGTAACCGGTAACGGCAGATACACAGATTTCCTCTCAGCGCTCACTGCCAAGGCTGCTCAGAATCACTGCCTTTTTCCTGCTCAAGGAGTTTAATAAACTTGACTTCCCCCCACACACACACTGGAAGAGTGAAGAAAATCCATCCTGAAAGAGAATTTCAAGGTGTTTTTCACCATATGAGCAACACACAGAAATTTCAGCACACGTTTCAGCTTTTAAAAAGTACGTGTTCCACGTGTTTAGTGTCACCATCTAAGTCTGGTCTAAGTAAGGGCTCACTTCTAACAAGCCCAGTTTACAGGAGAACTGCAACAGCCTGTTTTTTTTTTTCCATATACACTGAGAATGTGTTTTCAGATGAGAACTGGTTTATTGTGCCAGCCTGGAGACAGCCTGACAGCAACCCACTGAATTTTGCTCTCTGGAACCTCAGGCTGCAGGCAGATAATCCAGAGAGTGCAAGGGCAAAAGGGGAAGGGAAACTGCTGGAACCAAGCTCAGCTGCAGACAAAGAGCAGAAAGTCTGTGCTTTCAGGGACTGTCACCATGCTGGGTGAGTCCAGGATGCCTCTCTGAGACCTTCCTGCTCTCAGCCATGACCTGCTGCCTGAAGCAACCAAGAAAAACAAACCCCAAACTCCTTCCTTTAAATCCACCAGGACTGAGTTATGCACAGTTTTCCTACAGGGAGGGAAAGCTAAAACAGAAACGTGGAGGGTTGTGCAGAGACAGACCTGGTGCCAAGAATGGATTCAGTGAAGTAACAGGTTGTGGTGGCTTAGACACCAGAGAATCCAGGTTCACCAGAGCAGCATTGGGGCCCAAAAAGGACTCCGGGGTTTTCCGAGCTGCACTTTGTTTTCCTGATGTCCCACTCGAGTGCTGGGAATCAAAGAGATCAGGACTTGTGGTACCGCTATGCTGAGATGGCAAAGTGGAACCTGATTCAGCTGAAACAACACAAAGAGACAAACAAAACTTCCCATTAATCCACACAGCCAAGCAGAGAAAACCCTGAAGTGTCTGACAGCAGGAATGTTTAGTTCTAACGCTGGGATTAGTCAAGCTGGAGCGTGTCAGGGACACCCTTAGCATGCAAGCAGACAAATGTTCTGTAGGAGAGCATGAAAAAGCTGCAGTCAGAGGTGCAGAGCTCTACTGAAGGCGTTCCCTGCTTTGCCCTGATGAGCATTCCCACAGCTCTGCTGCTCCAGGTGGGACTCAGAGGCTCCAAGGAAAAGATACTCAAAAGCCTTGGCTTCTGCCCTGGCCCTACACCACTGCTGTGCCCTTCCTAGCTGGATTCCACCCAGGTTTGATGTTCAAAAAGCCCAGCTGGGCATTAGTCACTGTTCTTTCAGGCAGAACCATCCTGAGAGCACACAGTATCACAGCCCTGACACTGAGGGTCTGGCAATTTGGATTTAGTCACTAATGACCAAAAGAAAAATAAATCAGAGCATTCATAGAAGTGTATTTTCTCATCTTCCTACTAGAATTTACACATGAGAGGAATTCAGTCAGCATGGTTCTGTTTGACTCTCTGAGCACAAGCCCTGCTCCAAACTCGTTGGATACTGGGAATTTAAAATCCAAATAAATTTCTGGGTCAATGCAGCCAAAGGTTACACAGTGCAATTCTATGGATTACAGTGCAAAAGGCCCATTCCCCACAAGTTCATGCACAGGCCAAAACCTGAACAACAAGCTTTTACTGCTGCATTACCACCAGCTTTAATCCTTCCCTTTGTGAAAGCTGATTTTTGTTTTCTAATAAAATTTAAGAAGAGAGACATTTGTTGCTGTGACTATCACCCAACCTGTCCACATGCTAAGAACTGGATTCGTACCTGGCTTTTTGGAAGTTCGAAGTGTGTCAAATTCAGAAAAATCATCTTTAACTGTACCATTCAAATTACTGAAGAGGTCAAAAGATGTACTTCCTGTTCAAAACAACAAGACAGCCCTGTCATTAACATATCTTCGGTTGCATCCCACACCTGATCCTCCTGGAAGCAATTCCTAACCCATTTGTGTTACCAAGACTGTTGGGTTCCAGGGCAGCACTTGGAGTGGTCCTGGAGTTACCCAGGAGCTGGGAGAAGGATAATGTCACAAAATTGTCCTTTCTTACAGAATTAAACAACTAATTTAGAGCAGTTTGCTTTTAAATCAGTGTAGGGCACACCTTGAGCATGCTGGGGTTTGGTTGATTGTCTGCACTAGAGAAAGCAGATATTGCTGCAGAAGGAGAAATGGATTTACAGCCTGAACTATCAAGTGTTAATCGGCCCTCAAGTAAAACACGTTCTGAACAGAGTTCCAAAGCCAAATTTAGCACTGTTATAGCTTCAGTGATGATTTGACTTGTGCTTCCCAAGTGAAAAGGAGGAGAAATGCAATAGCAAAGGTTGCTGAGATGGCAAAGCCCCGTTAGCTGAAGCACCAGCACTTGCCCAGAGTTCACAACCATTGAAAACATCACCATTTCAAAATTCCACACTCTTACCTCAGAATGGAGGCAGCAAACCCAAACCCAAATGACCAGCAATCACACTCCTGAAAAGCTTTAAAGTTTGTGTGGCGTTTTCAATTAGTTGAAATGTTTTTCTAACTTAGTTTTCACCTTTAACACATTTCAAGCAAATACAAAGGTCCAAAAAGAGCACAAAAAGACAAAACCCCGAGAAAACAAGTGATGATTGAGTATAAAAACAACACTTAAGAAGAACAAAGTTAAAGACTCTCATTCTCACAATGATCCAATTATTGCCCTTTGCCCAGTGGAAAGCTGATTAGACAACTTTTAGCAGTACTCAGATTCCTTTGTTTGTTATGTGCTGGGATGAAGGACTGGCAGAAAATGCATTTGGGATGCATTTAGCCACGGTGCTGATATGAAAATAGCAGGTATTAAGACTCATCAAGGTTGCATTAGTTACAGAGCATGAACAGACAATTACATCAGCACCTTGGTACCCAGGGCTCAGGGATCACTTCACACCCTCAGTCTGAAGGAACAAACCCTCATTTGCACCTCCAGAAGTCTCCTCGGAGCCTGGAGCTGCTCGACCTGTCAATCTACATCTGCAGAGACATCCATCTGCAGAGCTGTTTATCATGATGAAAGCTTAAATTATAGGATCGTTCATTGCCAGAAATTAAGTCCTTGTCTAATTAAAGATCAAACCCAAGAGCAGCAGCAGTCCTGAGGGCTCAGCAGGCAGCCACAAACACCAAGAGGAGAATGTAGAAGGGACAGAGCACGAAGCAGCACCACGAATTCAGAGCTCTAAGTCAGAATAATTACATTTGATTTTCTTTTTCCTGCTAGTTATTACAACTCCCTTTTATCTTACAGAGCAGTTCTGCACACTGTTCAGCACCCAGCTGCTTTGAACCACACAGTGCAAGAACATCATCGGGGTTTCTCCTCATTACTCAAATAACATGAGATTGTTTCTCACCAGAAGTAGAGAGAGGTTTGTTTGCAGGTGCTGGTCCCCAGGGATCCACAGAAGGTTTTGCTGCAGTAGAAGACGACTGAGCAGGAGCCCAAGGGTCATTTTTGGACAGAGGCTGAGCTGTGGATCCTGCTGGTGCTGCCCAAGGGTCAACGGAAGCAGCTGGTTTGGCACCTGCAAAAAGAGTCAGCGGGAACCCCAGTGAGTCCAGCTTCACTTTGGAAAGCTTTCCTGGGAGATTAACCTCTCTTATGTGCCTTTACTGCCAATTAACACTGAACATAAACAGGTGAAGCAGTTCAGCACCAGGAACACTGACAACTCTCAGCACCAATGTCACACGCCCTGAACAACAAGCACCAGGAAATTCTGTGCAAGGCAGATGAATAAACAAATCCCCCCCTTTCAAACTGAATAAAAATATCTGCAGTTCCAACAAGAAAATAAACATGCTTTTGTTACAGACACTGTCACCACAACTGACAATACCTGACTAGAGGTGACCTAAATCACAGGGTCTATTTATGAGCTCAGGGGTAAGTTTAGAAAAAGCCCAGAGGTAAAAGGTATGAGATACAAAACACTAACACTTGGAGAAAGACAACAAAGATGCAATGTTTTCCAACTCTTTTAACCATACTGTTATTTTTTAAAAACATAATCAGCTTCCCTGAGCCAGCTGTGCTTTTTTTTCCCGTGTGTAAGCACTCCTGACACAGATCTGAGCTTCCACTGATATCCCTTATTATTTTCTTTAACCCAAAGCCTGTATGTTCAGGATTCTCGTTTTTATTGAAAATTTGTGACAACTCTTCGTTCCCACAAATTCAGTGACCAAATTGCTTCAGGTTGTGCACGAGGGTAGGGGGAAATTTAAGACCAAACAAAGGAGAAGGAAAAGAGAAGGAAACTCCTCTCATCATTTACAATTTCCTGCCAGGTTTTTCTTCTTCCTCCCCAGCCTAATTTATTGCTTTTCAGCAAAGCAATTCTGTTCTTGTTTCTACCAATATTTTAAGTTATTAAACCCCAGGAATACTGAGGCAAATCCCACGTTCCTTTTGCAGTGGCCCAGGTGGGTGCTGGAAGGTCATTCTTGCTTGGGCCTGACATCCATCCCCCTCCTGGAGCACCAGGAATGGGAGCCCAGCACTTCCCAGGCACATCCTGCACAACTGATCAGTGATCAACTCCCTCCAAACCAGGCAGGACATGCAAATATTTCCTCTTCCCTATGAACCTTCTCGGCAGGAATGGTTTAATTCCATTTAACTGAGGACTGTGTAAGAGCAGTTCAGGATCAGCCCCACGTGCACAACCATTATCTTTAACCACCACGTGGCTTTCAAGTGACAACTGAGAATTATTTTGAGTTTTCCAAACTACATACAACCCCCCTTGGCATGACAATATTCTCATAAACCAATTCAGTGCTGCACACAATGGCACAAATCCCAATTTGCTGGGTTTTGTTTCGTCAACAGGCCCACGGTCTCGCTGCAGCTCCGCACCAGGAAATGCCAGAACTCTCCAAGGAAGCCAAACTATTCCCACACCAGTACTTACATTTCCTTTATCTGCCCTCAGCGCTGAGCTACAGCAATGCCCCACCAGAAATGCTAATGACAGCATTTCCCATCAACTGAAGCTTCCCAAAATGTCTTTTCCTTCATAAAGGGAGTGCAGGAAATGAGAGAGTTTGGGAAGATCCCTTCGCGGAGCTTCCACCAGCTCCACTGGAACACCACAGCACATGCAGGACTCGAGAAATACAGTTTAATGAATGACTCTTTTTATCAGAAAACTCCTAAATCTTTTATCTTCAGGACTATCCTTGGGAGCCAAGAAACCAGCAAGCTGGAGTAAGGGGTTGTGCTGTGGTGGAATAAAGTTGGAGGCATTGACAAAGAACACTACAGCCAAAACTGATGGAAGGGAAATCCTGTCAGAGGGTGACAGACAAAGCAGAAGAATTGAAGAAAGTCGGATTTTGTTTGTTTTTAACCATGGAAAAATACATTGAATAGCCCCAGGGTCCAAAACTTGGGCTTCTTCTGATTTCCTGTCACCAAAAGAAAAACAGATGACACTTAAGAATGATGACCTGCAGCTGGCCCAGCAGCTTTGTAGGTGCCTTAAATGCCACCATGAGGAGGGGAAATAACCCCAAACAAGGCATTTCATTATTGAACTTCAACATTTTCATCAGGAACCTGATGGTGATGTGTTGAATGCTGATGTAAATGACTTTGAAGCACTTTAAAGAAGAGGTTGTAGAACCACCAGCCTGAAGTACAATGGACAGAATGCACACACAAAAACCCAGCTGTTTAAAAAGAGTGGAATTTCCATTTGTTTCTGCTTGGAAATGAATTGGGGAATGTCAGTTCTAGAGTATGGGAACCAATCAAGATGGACTAATACCCGAGCGTGACACCGGACACGGAGGAACTTTGAAAAGCTCAACATCAAAAAGCAAAACCCTTTAAATAACATTCCTCCTGGCAGTTTTCTCCTTACCAAATGATTGCCACGGGTCAGAGGCAGGAGCTGTAACTGTGGATCCTCCCCAGGGATCAGTTTGGTTTGCAACAGCGGGAGGTCCCCACGGCTCCGTTTTCGGCGGGGCCGGTGCCGAGGAGGGCAGGGCATCCATCAGGTCCAACAAAGTGGTGTGCTGAGGGCAGGAATAATCTGAGCTTTAATCAAGAGCATTGTCACTCTGAAGTACAAACCCATGAGAGTGAAGAGGCAATTATTATTTTTTTTTTCCTTTTACACACCTGCATTGACTAGTAGTTCGAAATTTAACCCACACGGAAGAAGCTTTAAAGCTACACAACAAAGCAATCCCAAAAGCATACAAGAGCTCAGTATTAAGCTATTTTGTGTTACTGTATTTCAGCTTTTGGCAGCATAACCGGGAGTTTCTTAGTCGAAGGCACTACCTCCTTCTTTTTGGGAATTTTAATTGTGTCTCTGCGACTCTCCTCCAGAGCCATCTGTAATCTCAGATCATCTCCGCGTCTGAGGCGCTCCTCCTGCAAAGGAAATCAACACTGGTGATATAGACCATGAGCCTGCACTGGGCTGCTGCTCCCTCCAGGAATCCAACCCCTGGGCAGGACACCTCCAGGGAAGGCCTGGCCAGCCCTCCCTGCCACCGCTGCTGGGATTATTTGCTCGAATTTGGACATGACTGAGAGAGGGAGAGGAATTTTCTTGCGGTTCTTGCCTCAACCAGAGGTCAGGAGCACCCCGACCCCGGAACACCAGCGGTGTCATCACAATCCAGTCTGCTGATTGACATTTACCCTCGTGTTGTTTTATTCCTGATGGGAATATAAATGTAACATTCTTTCCAAAACTCAGCTTCTAGGTAGAAACACCACAGAACTTCGAGTAAACAGCCCCTTTTTAAATGATCACCATGATTTGGAACCACTGACGGTTGTGGGGAACTAAACTCTAATTTCCCTGGCTTTTCTCAGCTTCCCTCCACACTGATACAAGTGTTAGAAAGAACACCAAGGGAATCAGTCGAGCCAACTCCCTGTAATTTGAAGGTTTAAACATCTGTAAACCACAATGTTTGTGGTACATTCAAATACTTTAAATGTCTTTGCTTGCATCACATCTTTCAGAAGTTGACTAATCCCCCAGCTGGTATTTTCCTTGTCATTTTTCAAGCTACTTCAACTGATTAGATTCTGATTTATATTTTCTTTCCCTTTATTGCTCAATAATGATAAAGTTTACTGAGTGATAGTTTTCCTTTCCAAGCATAGAGATACTAATGCTAAACATGCAGTTTAAGCTAAATTGTCACAGGAAACCTCTAAAATATTACACTCAGCAGGGTTGACTTGAATTTTCACTCATAGCTGAGATTCAACTTCGTTATATATTAACATGAAGCAGACTTTATCCACAATTATTTATCTATCATTTACTCCAAATTCAAAATGAACTTCTTAAGAATTAGCACAGTAACATAACTCAGGTGACAGATTAGGAATCAAGTTACTTTAAACCAAGTTCTTTATATATTCTGGTACTTTGTGTCAGGTCACCCTCTTGTTCCAGACACTCTTACCAAACAACCAGACCATTCAAAATTCCACTGGAATCAGAATTCACTGACATTAATGAAGGTTTTCAGGACCAGTCACGCTTCCAGCTCTTCCTAACTGAAAACATCTTCAGTAATGTGCTGATTAACATCCTCCCACACAAAGTCTTCCCGCAAAGTGACTGTCATCTTCCACTAGTCTCAACAGCTCGGAGGCTGGAGTTACTTTAAAAAAAGAGATTTTTAAAAAAAAAAAAAAAAAGCAAGAGCAACACCTTCCAAAATGGCCTTTCCACCTGGAGCAAAGCCAAGCTGCCACTGGGAAGGAAAAAAAAAAAACCAAAACAAACCCAAAAAAACCCAAACCAGGATTGCAATCTCAACTATCAAAGGCAAAACCTACACGGGCACCGACCTGCTCCGCCACCTCCCGGCTCATGGCCAGCGCCAGCTGCAGCTGCAGCTCCTCCTCCCCGCTCGTCTGAGGCCGGGCCTGCTCGAGCTCCGAGGAAACTCGAGGGGACGTCGCTGTTGGGAGACAAAACCCACCAGGTTTAGCACATCAAACACAGCAAACAACAGAAAACATGTGGCGCGTTTGATTCTTGCTCTGAGCGGATCCTCCCCCGTTCCAGGGAGACTGGAGACCTCCAAGAGCTCCCACCGTGGCTGAGGGGAACGACAATTCAACAGTCAGTTGGTTTAAAGGACAAATATTCCTGGAAAACAAAGGCTTTAGTGGGGTTGTAACATCAACGAGGACCCCTGGACACCCTGAGAACTTTGGGGGTAGGACACCGACTTAAAAATGCAGAGAATTAATTGTTCAAGAAAACATTTGTTGATATTTCTCACATCTCCCAATGTCACTAAGGATTTGCTGGGAGTTGGCCAATCTCGGGGTAAAACTGGATACCACCCACTTTTCTGTAAAATAATACAGTCCTAATGGGAAGATAAAGAACTATTCTTAACTGCTGAGCAGGCTCAGGGACAAACAAGCCAGCCTTTCATACCCCAAATTTACACAAATACTGTATCATTCTCTGTTAAGAAAGAGTTTGGTCTATGGGTTGGGGGCGTTGTTTGGTTTCTGGTGTTGGTTGGTCTTTTTTTGGAGGAAGATTTCCACTAGCTGAGCTCTAGCTGTGATCTCCCCCACTCCACGAGCAACACTCGAGCTTGACAGCTAAAATATGCAATTTCTCAACATACAAACCATCTTTTCTTGATGTTTTCACGACAGCAACATGCAGAAATTCCCATCCCAATGGGACAACACTAGTAGGTTTAGCATTAGACAGTAACTAAACATTTTTTTTGTGCTCACTCTCACAAATAATTCTCTAGCATCAAATCATTCACACAGAAATTTTATCTCAGTTTGGCAAGGAAGTTTGTATTTAATGGCTGGAATGATAATTAGGTTTGGCAAAATATACATTGACATTTAATAGAGAGGAATCATGTTTTTAAACTAGCATGGCAAGGTCTAAGAAATCGAGTTTGTTCTTAGCAGGCCAGCTGGGCATGTTTGAGATTGCCAAACTACGTTTTAAAAAGCACTTTTTCATCACTACTTTAATCCTGCAAACACTTCCCAGTCTTGTCTCTCCAAGATGACATTTCAAAACAAGAAGTGCACCTTCCTCTCTCCTCCAACAGGCCTCAAGGCAGTGACCCTCCCTAAAAAAGGAATGACCTTTCCATCCCACCCCACTCTGTTTCTAAAGGGACACATTAATTTATCCCCCAGAACGATCCCTCCACGTTGTGCTGATCCTGAGGCTCTCAAGCCAACCAGACAAGCTCCTTACTGCAACAGAGATGTTACTCATCCCTCAATTCTATTACTTTTTCAAATGAAATAACTAAATTTAGCCTGTTTGCTCCAATAGTCACAGCCAGGCTCTCTGATATATTATATGGACTATTAAAAACAATATAACTAAAGCACGTGATAATTCCCAGCCAAGAGAGGTTAAACATGAGCACTAGTTCTGGTCACTCAAACCCAAGATGGGTGATTTCAAAACCAGAATGGAGGTGGAAACTCTTCCCTTCAGAGCATGGAGAATGTTTTATGTGTTTATCTTTGCAAAAGGAAGATTGAGCAGTTTATGGTTGTTAAATATATCAGGCTTGCAAACACCACAGAGCCAGAAAAGCTATTTAAGATAAAGGGGCAAGAACTAATGGTATAAATTGACCATGAATAGATTTAAGAGACAAGTAGAGAAGAGCAGTTTTCCAGCAGGGAATAGAGAAGGAAAGAGTTGTAACTGGTTTAAAAACAGAGTTGGATAAGTGTGGGACAAATGGGACACCAACAGAGTCACCTGAGAGCAGATGGACCTGGACCATGAGCAGGGAGGCACCTCCTGGTCTTCCAGTTTTTCAGCTGCAGTTGTGGGGGGAAATGGGATTTCCTGCCCTTCCTGCAAATCAGCTTTTCCATCCCTGTTGATGTTACTACATTCCATAACAGCTCAGAAGCTGAAGGTACAATGGCTTTAAAATGATGTGGAATGGGTTCATCCCGTTGATTTTCCTGCCATTTCCACGGGAAGGACTTGCTGAACACACTCACCAGTCTCAGCTTTCAGCAGCTCATGGCCCTTCTGCCCGGAAAAGCTGCAAGGAGCAGGAATTGCATCCCACTGGCCCTCCCCTGGGGGGTCCTCACCTCCCAGCCATGCACAGGAAGGGCTGGATTGCTTTGGCAGGGAGCTCCATGAGCTCACAGCTCCCAGCAGAGCCCAACATCAGCAGCTCCAGGATCTGAACGTGGATAACACGGCGTCTCACGGATATAAATTATTTCTTTTCACTTTCAGGCTTTTCCAGCAATTCATTCTACTTGGTTTCATTAACTCTAAAAGGCACTTCCAAAAAAAAAAAAAAAAAAAAAAAGAAAAATGCCCATTTGAAATTCTTCCTTGGGCCTCATTTGAAAAAAAAACCCCCGAACTATAGAAATGTTGCTATTTTACATTTAAACCTCTGCAGTGTTATAAAACCACCTACATTAAAGAGCTGCCAGCAAATTGTTTGAGAAAGGATTAAGGAAAATTCAAAACACTGTTCCTGGGAGTAACCTGACATGCTTTATGCAGCAACTTCACTCCTATATGGGCCTCATCCTGCATTAAGGTTTGAATTCCCAGGATCCAGCAGAAAGGTTATTGCCTTAGTAACAGGATCACTGCCACACAAAGCATCCCTTATCCCCCAGCACATGACAGTTAACTCAGATGTTTATGTAAGATGGGACTCAATAGATCAATTCTGACCTGCTAAGCCCTGCTTTGTTGGGAATTTGGAGATCCCAGTCCCTCCAGGCTGCCCAGAAGCAAACTGGTGGGAATCTGCTCCCGCAGGGAGCGACACCACCGGGCTGGGCTGCTCGGCAAGGGAATCATCTCCACCCTCAGTTAATCACTAAAGCAGGATTCTGCTCCACCATCTGTCCCCAGGCCAGGCTCTGCTGTCTTTCAGACACATCTATTGATAATTTCCTATATCTTGGCAATATCAAAAGCCCTCTGTAGATGTCGATAGCTCTGGCTGAGTTGAAGTGAATACACAGGACATGGAAAGCAGAGTCACTGCCTGCATTACTGACAAAAATCACTCCCAGTACACCAGTCAGACTTTGCATTCCCATTCAGAAGGCTGTGCTTGGGTTTTGGGATTGGTTTTGTTATTCCTGGGGTTTTTCTTTTTCTGATCTGCAGGTGGAATTCTGAAGAACAGACTTCACTTCTCAGTCACAGCTGTTCAGAAAGAAAAGCTGCTTCCTCCCTCAATCAGTGCACCCACAAATGTAGACAAAACCAAGGCTGACTTGAAAAATTAGATTAATATCAAGGTAAGAACTCAGAAACCGACAGAAATTCCCTTGGGAACCAAGCAGAGATCCCATCTGTTAGTCTTCCAATGAAAGACCACTCAAATAAGGATGGGATCCGTTCAAAAAGCCAATCTAGCCTCTCAAATGATGGGAAGGTTTGTGCAAACTGTTCAGTCTAGGAGGAGTTGTGTAATCCACCTTTCCACTGGGAATTAAAGAATCTTTCAGACACAAGAGGAGAGTTAATAACACCTCTGAACGTGACAAGGTGGAGCTGCTCAACCTTCCTGCAGGATTTAACTGTGCTGAGCACACAGAGCACTTCTGAAATTCATTTAACCCTGAACAAATCCTTGAGGTTTGTTTTGGTTTTAGGAGCATTTTCCTCCCAGGTGATCCCTACATCCAGCTCAACAGAGTTGGATCATTTAGTGCCACTACAGAAGCCTGGATACACCAATGGCACTTCCCACCTTCACCAGAAAAAGAAATATATGATGAGAGAATTTAATCAAGTTGTCAAGTGACATCTGACAGGAGTCTGCCACATTCCTTCAACACCTCAAACTACGGGAATTATCCAAACTGTTCATCCAGATTCACTGCTGGATGATAAGTCATATATTCCCTGACTAAGATGGAAGGGCAGAGATGTGTTCCAACCTGCAAATTGTTAAAAACCTGTAAGTTATTAAATAAATAAAAAAAACAACTTTAAAAAGAGGAGCATTCTGAAATCTGAATGGCACAGGGTGCCCAGAGAAGCTGGGGCTGCCCCATCCCTGCAAGTGTCCAAGGCCAGGTTGGATTAACCTGGGATAGTGGAAGGTGCCCTTCCCACGGCAGAGGGTTGGAACTGGATGAGCTTTAAGGTCCCTTCCCCAAACCATTCTGGGATTTTATGAATTTCCTATCATGTCAAACCCCAAACAGCAATTCCTCTGATTTACTTTCTACTCCAAATAAAAGTGGAGAGAAAGCCAAAAATAGATGAGAGAACATAACCTTGCTGAGGCTTCACAAAACTGCTTTTAAATAATGAGTCGAGTTAACATCAATAATCACTGGAAACATTAAAAACTCATTAATTCACCTGAAGACAATTGCTCCCAGAATCTTTACAGGAAAGGTTAACAGACTTGGCATTTCCCAAGATCCATAAAAGCCCTTTTCAGCCCATCTTTCACCGATCTTTTCTCAAACAGGCTGTTTGCACAATGAATGTGAGCTGAGCTTAGCTGAGCTGAGCCCACCTCGGGGCAGTGCTGCTCTGAAAGCAGGTCACACGTTTGTGTCGATGAAATCAGGGCATTAAACCCACCCCAGCCTGGCTCTGCCTCCCAAACCCACGGGAGCACATGGAGAAAGGGAAGGGTGTGTAGACAACCCAAAATATCACAGGGACATCCTGGCTTGGGCATGACAGGATTGGATCTCTGAAAAAGCAGTAAGGCCTCAGCAAACTTGGGTTTAAAACATGACCAGCACTTCCTAGGCTTGAAACATCAGGCTTAAGAGGTCTATATTAAGAACATCCTACTTTTCCTTGTGCAGCCATAAATCCAGAATCCTATTTAAGTGGTCACTGGCAGCTGTAGATGAAACAAGGCCAGGAGCAGGAGGCTGAAGTTTTCAAAACCGGGTGACTGATGTATAAAAGCATAAAGACAATTTTTCAGACACGAAACCACGTTATGAGCGAAGAAATTCTCCTCCGAAAGATTTCGGATATCCACCTTATATTCCTTCCTCTCCCCAGTAGGTTTGGGCTCAGCACCACACAAGAACATTCCTCCACAGTGAAATAAAACCTGACATCAGATTTCCTGCAACTCCAGAGAATTTACACGTTTTCCAAAATAATAAAGAACTATTATGCACTTTGTCATGGAATATTTAACAGCTCCTAATCTGAACATTAATTGCCAACTGGAAGATAAAAGCAATTGTTCCCAGTGTGTCAGAAATTGTTGACAAGATGAAGGTTGGGAGGAGATTTAATTTCTGTTTTTTGCTTTAGTATCTCTCTTGGCTTCCACTTACAGGTTATGAGACTAAGTAGCAAAAATATACTAATACTTTCACATTCACACACCATAATGTACTCCCTGGAATTACCCAAGCACTGAGATCTTCAGGGCCAACCAAGTCATTAAGGCAAAGCTTTGGGGGAAAGGATCTTATTAAAAACTCTCACATTTCCCCATTTCACTTTGCACAGTTTCTAAAGGACTGTTAGAGATGAGATGAAAATATCCACAAGGAAATGGGGAGAAATGTCCTTATTTGCCAAGTCTTGCCTGCAGCAGTGAGGGATAATTGTTCAAGAGTCAAGAGATCCTTTTCCATCTTGAACTCTCCCACACTACACAGGCTGGAAGTAATGCTTTTACTTTTTCATAAAGGATAAATTTGGGACATGATGACCAGCAAGTCTTTAAGAAAACCCTTTCTGGCTCAACATCAAGTACAAAATCCAACTGTTGGATTCAAACCCACAGGTGTTAGGAGGCTGGGAAGGGCAGGAGTGTGAGCACTGCAGTGTTCAGCCTGTGCAGTGCAGCTCATTCAACATTCTGAGCAAACCAAACCAAAAAGGGGCCACTGACTTATCCAATATTGCACTTTTAGGAAGTGACAGAAAGGGAAGAGATCCCTCAGGCACAATCCAGCACAGTATCCACTGCAAGTTCTTGTTCCCCCAATGATCTATCCTGGAGGGACTACCCAGCTCTTTCAGTCAGCTCAGGCTTCATTTCTTCTGCAAGAAAGCATCAAAAATCAGATTTTATAGCCCAACATCATCTCTTCAAGCAAGGGGAATGCATTCCCAAAATCTGCAATCCCCACTAAAGAGGAACAAAAGTAAAATGTGCTGATGCCAAAACCACTGAGAGACAAAATATTTCATTTAGTGATGTTGGCAAAAAGGCTGCTAACTCTCCCAAACTTTACTGATATTTGACTGTTAAGAAGACATGTGATATATTCAGCAAAGAGGAGGGATGCACATTTTTAAGAGGCAAACCTCATGCTATAGATTGCAAATCTAAATGTCTCTGATCTCCTCTTCAAAGGCTCAGAGGAATGAAAGAGAATTCTGCCAGAATATACAGTGCAGCAACCACATCTTCGAGCTGCTACAAGGAGAATATTTCCCAGGAGCCAAGCATAACTTAATTCCTTTCACATATTTCACTGAATCCATCTTTTCAGAACAAAAGGAGGTTATCATTTAAAAAAATAAAACAGGATGCATACAATCTCTTCCACTTTAAATAATGAAAAGCATCTTTTCCATCAAATTTAGAAGGCACAGGAATGACCCTACATTTATGTAACAGATTAAATGTCTGGATTTTAATGAAACTCCTTCCTCGTTTCCTGGGATAAAGCTGGTTTTTTCCAATATCAGATTTTCTAAAATCTAAAGATTTTCCAATACCAGGAGTATATAAGCCCAGCTGTTCTGAAAGGTGTTGGCTTGCTTTGCTATGCTCAATTAAACCTGACAAAAACACATTAAAACTTCAAAATATAAAAAACCAACAGCCATCTGTATTTGGGCTGATCCACTGTGAGAAGTCCAGGAGAGGCCACAACCCAGGAAGAAAAAAAAAAAAAAAAAAGCCTGAGATTTCTAAAGCTTCTTAGGTCTGTGCTCAGGGAGGGAGGAGGAAGAAAAGCTTAAGAAATCATTACCTCAAAAGCAATCCTGCCACGGGAGACACACACAGGGAAATGGGAGCATCCACTAAATCCACATTTGGACTGAAAGAACAGCCAAATTTGCTGCTTCTCCCAAGGAACAATCCAGGAACACACCCTGCATTGCTCAACCCTGCCAGAAGGAATAGTTTGGAGCCTCTGGTAGCATTTAACGTGCCAAACAATAGTTCCAGGCACTAATTAGAGGCAGGAGCTGGTGAAACAATAACCCTGTGGAACCCAAGGTGTGCTCAGCAGAACTCAGTCACTATTATTTAGTCCATCAGCTCAAGTCAAAAACAGTATTTCAAGTTATATCCTAAATTAAGAATTTTTGCTGTAGTCAACAGTGATCCGCAGACTTCAAAAGAAAAAAAAATGTTATTGTTGTGGTAACAATATATATGATGTGCTTTAAAAAGTCACACTGAAACAATGCTCTGGTGTGGTTATTATAAAAAACCTATGTACCTATAGAAAATATGAACAGGCAGAAATATGATTATTACACAAAAACCAAGAGGTTTGCTATCCAGCTCCTAATTAAAAGATTAAAAAAACCTCATACCTGAAAATCTTCATGCCCATTATTTGCAAAATACTTCTTTTTGGAAATAATTTTTCCTGCTCATCTCCATAGATTTAAATGGACAGATTTAGTTTGATTTTCCTGCCACCTCCTCCTGCCTTCCCCGGGAAGTGTTTGCACACTCACATATTTATGATTTGAGCAGAGCACTTTGGGACCCAGGACATGACAAACTTCAGATTCCTAGAACTGGTGCTCAGTGGATTCTCCACCCTGGCTGAGTTACAGCCCTCCACACACCCTAAACATTCATTTAAAGACAAGATTTTCCTTCAGAATTAGACCACAACCACTGACATTCCAGCCAAAGCAGCTTTCATCAGATCATTACTTACATTAAGGAGGATTTAGTGCCAAATCAGGCCTCTTCCTGACATGACAGGGAGTTCCCCCCAAGCAGTGGCAGAAAGAATTTGTTCTTCCCACATCATTGTATTAATTTTTTAAGAATGAAATATAGTATTTAGTAGAGATACTTACACACCAAAGACAGAGAGTATAAATATTTAAATACAGACAAATTCAAAGCATTACTACTCCAAGAACTGCTGAGTAAGCAATAAAGGAAATTAAACAGCAGCACTCTTGCCAAAGTACAATAGCAGCAGCATAAAGTAGCAAAATGATCCAGGAAATATTCTGTATTTCTAATTTTTTCTTGAATTCAAGACCAGGTTGGACAGTGCTTGGAGCAACCTGGGCTAGTGGGAGGTGTCCTTGCCCATGGCAGGGGGTGGAATGGGATGAGCTTTTAAGGTCCTTCCACCCCAAATCATTCTATGATTCCATGAATTATACTTCACAAAAAGAATGAATTTCCGAGGAAAAAACCAGGAAAAATCCATTGCCAATCTCCCCACCACATCAAACACCGGAGCACGTTCCCAAAAGCAGCCTGACAGTGCTACCTTTGGGAACTGCCAGGGAACAACTGCTTCTTAAATGAAGTCAATATACACATCCCCTCCAAAGCAAACATTTAACCAGGCAGGGGAGGAGACAGTGATGCCACGGAGCAGATCCACAAAGGCAGCACAACCAGAACCACAGAACATTCTGAGCTGGAAGGGACCCACAGGGATCACTGAGTCCAACTCAACTGAATCCCATAAAGGGACTGAGCCCAAAGCTGAACACCAACTTTGGTGTTATTGGCACCATGTTCCCACCAACTGAGCTACCTCAGGTTCACCCTCACCTCCAACAGCAAATCTGGATGCAAAATCTCCCAAAAGAAAAGGAAGAGGAACTTCTCCCGTGTGTTTGCCTGTACTTACAGCCATGGTAGGAGGCTGGGGATCCTCCAGACTTTCCATACTCCTGCTCTGAGTAGCTGGTGGACAGGTTGGGCTGACTGGAGCCTCGGCCAAAGGTGATCTGGTTGCTGCCCACTCCAGTGGCCACCTGGGCCATGCGTTCTTTGGTCTTCAGGGCCTGGGCCCTCTCCGTCTTGAGTCGCTCGTCGTCCTTCAGGAGCGACACCAGCTGCTTGGACTTCTCCCTCACGTTGATGCCCTGGTCTTTGCCATCTCGATCGATGTACTGGAAATCTTTCAACGTCTGGATGGCAAAAATGTTCTCCTTGCACTGCTGGGCCACCCTCTCGGAGCCGGTTTTGATCAGGTAATCTAAGAGCGTCAGGGCCTTGTACACGTGTCGCCAGTTCTTGCCGTGGTCGTTGAGCCGCTTCCAGATCATGCTCATAATTTCAGAAAAGGCCACAACGTTGTAAGTCAGATCTGCTATTTCAGTCATTAACGAACTGGAAGGACCCCAGGGGTCATTAGAGGTCGCTTCCCGAACTTTTATTTCGGCCTCTGAGTAATTGTTCACGATGTTCTTCATCTGCCGTCTGATAGACGAAGTCGTCATTTTTAGTTCCCTTTTTGCCCGGGCAGGTTGCAGAACACAAACAGAAAAGGGCTAAATTTGCTCCTCTATGAACGTTTCTGAACTGCAAAGGCTCCGTATCAGTGGCTTATTTGTAACACGTTCCACTACAACCATTTCCTCTCTTCAAGAGAATGACACGAGAAAACGAAAATCACGACCTGAGTGAGGAAAGAAAACAAAGCACATTAGTGTTCCTGCACAGCCAACAATCTGCATCCACTTGGGACAAATTTCCTAGAGCGAACTGATGAATTTTCTCCCTGAATTTCTTCTCGTTTTGAAAACAACTTGCTCTTCTCATGAGTAACATTAAACATTTAAGATTAAAAACGTGAAGCGCCGAGTAAAACAAGAGTAAGAAGACGACCGTGCTGATGGAACAGCAAAATTTTAAAATCAAACCCAAGTCCAAGAAATTACAGGCTTAGTTTCCAAAGTAAAAACCCAGAATTTTTAATTACAGTGCTCACAGAGCTGAGATCAAACCACGTCAGAAATTCCGTGTTTAGCAGCTTCTCTCTAACACTGACAACTGCTCCCATTCCTGCAGGAATCTGAACTGAGGGAATGAGCAAAATTCCTAAAAATTACCCATTTCTGAAACCCCAGGTAAGTTTAAACCCACTCAGAGATCCTGAGGCCCAGGGAGGAGACCTGAGCCCCAGAACAACACAAACCAACTCAAGGTGACCTTTTATGATAAGCAGATTAGAAGGGAATTTTTTTTCCCAAATGCATTTATTTTGTACATTTGACAACACTCGTCAGACCCACAGTTTCTGCTCAGTGTTTCTGCTCACAGCACAGAAGGATTTTTAATTATTTGAGAATGGAACTGTAAAGCCAAAATGATTGGCAAGAAAACCCAAGGACAAGCTCTGGAGCTGGAAAGCTGTGTCAGTTCTTCAGTTAATGTCACTGTTTCAAGTAAACAGAGGCCTATTAAGCTTTAGAATAAATTACTTGAGCAAACTGGCAGATTTTGCTGTTCCATTAACACAGAACAGCCCCTGATATTCACCAGTTGCACAACACTGAGCAAGGACTCTGCAACCAAACTCACATGAACAGAGCTGCCCGTTCCAGATGTCCTCTAATGTTTCTCCAAACACTCCAAAAAAACCAACCCTATCCCTTACAAAGACACTGGAGAGAAGTGAAGCACAGATTTCAAGCCTGGAATTGTTATCATTCTTCAACTGAGGATGGTGCCATTTGGAATGCGAGCAGAATTCAGTGTCAACGCAGCTCCAGGAGGATTTATTTTAGCACAAAGACATATTCCCTTCCCAGAAAACCATTCTGGGCAAGTTCAACCACCACAGAACAACTCCAATGAGTTGCTGTATTTTATCTTGTTCCACTGAGGTTAATTTTTGGCAGATTAAAAACTCCTATGACATCAAGGAAGATGAACTTTAAATGAGATCAACACTAAACTTCAGGTAAATGGCATCGCCCTGGTGTTTCCCCCAGTATTTGGAACCAGGGGTAGGAGAGTGTTGGTGTGTTGGCAGATGGCTGGTGGCAACAGGAATAAAAAGGGGCATCTTCTGGGGCATTTACAGGTTTGTGCACTATAAACATACATAAACATGCCATTTACAAAGTTAACATTGCCCAAATTATCACCTGCCCCTGCGATGACTCTCTAATGCACGACCTGCAAAAGGCAGGGCAACAGTAAGAAAAAATAAAAAAAATAAATTTTACAAAGCCCACAACACACATCTTATTTATCCTAAACTATTTCTTCATGTCAATACTGGGTAAGGCAAGTTCACAGCCAAAGCAGAAACCAGGTATCCAGGGGCATCTGGATGGTCACAGAGAACCAGGAGCAGGCTGCAGTCAGGAACTTCTTCAGCTGGTAAAAGTGGAGCCAGCAGAGGATCCGAGTGCCAGGCACATCACAAACATAATTCCAACGGTTATACAGATCCCAGAGAAGAAGAATCCAACCCCCCACAAGGACTGAGTTTGTCATCCAACCAGAAAAGCAGTAAATAACATGAAAAATCAAAAACAGGAAGACTAGAAAACAAGATAACAAGTCCACCAAGGCTAAAAAATCCTCCAACACAAATCTCTGTGTAAAGTCCATGTGCCTTTTGGGAATTGTGCCTCTGCTCCTGCAGATGAACCCAGGGTCATTTCTTCTCCCTGTGCATTTTTCATCTGCCACTTTATCCCTCAGCAGGTCTCAACCTTTCATCCTTCTTTTCAATTCAAATTCATTTCAAATCTGAGCGATTTGCTTCGATGTGCCCACCTTATTTAGGAACAATCTGGAAAAGGGAATCTTTGCAGGAGCACTGATCTTTAGCAGGACACTTGGCTGGGAACAGCCCTTCCCTGTGAGAACCAACCATTTGCTCCTAACCCCGTTTCCTGTCTCTTAACCCGCTGTAAATCTCTGAAAAAAACATTCCTGTCTTGTGAGAGTTTTATTTCTTCAAGGCCAGGGACGAGAGGCCTTATTTTGACAAGTACATATAGGAGCAAGTGCCTCACCTGTGTATCTCCCAAGACAAAAAAAAGGAGAAGTTTTATTACTTTACAACTTTGTTTAAGCTTTGGGAAAAAAATCATTTTAACACCTCACATGTAAATCCCTGAAGAATTAATCACCTTCTCAACACAAGCAGGGCCACAGACCATCAGGGCTCAGTCTCACACGCCAAGCTGAACCTCCAAACCCTGTGACTGCTCCCCCTTTCTCCCTCTTGCACCAAATCCAGCCATTTTTACACAGCAGCACAGTGAAAAGATTCAATCTGAAGTCTCCCAAGCTTTGCTGCACAGTAGCCTGTGAGAAGAGTAAGAATGATCCAACTCTGGCCTCACTTTTGGAGCTGAATAAATGCAACATAAAGCTGTCAAGGTCCCAAAAAACAGCCCCAGAAAGAGAAGAGCTTTCATTCCTTCCCAACTGCGCCCCAGTAGGAAACCAGGCATCTGGTTTCAGAGGAGAAACCAAGGGAAGAAAGGCAGGACCCTGAACTGGAAGCTTTTCTAGTGTGAAGCTCCTGAAGGTGGCTACTAGCAGAGAGTAAGTCTGGAGTAGGGCTTTGGAAGAACAATGAGCAAACATTTCCAGAAGAGAACACACTGGATTAAGTGAAACGAGTCATTTTCACTCTTTCAGGAAATAAAATAGTTCACTTGTTGTTCAGTAACAGCTCTGAAACCATCAATCCATCGATGGTGCCATGATCCTTCACCTTCATATCTCTGAATCATGAAAACAAAGGCATTTAATGAGAGCCACATTCATGGCTGGGTTTTTTCCTTTTCTTGATGGACATGTTTTAATCTTACTTTACTCCTAAGCCACTAAGGTCAACTTACTCTAAACTTCATTTTACTCTGGTGAAAGCACAAAGAATGGCTGGAGTGGGAAGCTGATGGGCTTGTTATTCCTCTCTAGTGTTAGTTGCACCAGTATTCCAGGTAACTGCTTGGCAGTGGCAGTGACCCTGCTCAGGAGCCTTGTGAGCCTTTTGGTACCTGTTTTACACACTCCCTGCTTCCTCACCACACATGGGAGGCACTTTGCTTGACTATCACAAGTCTTGAAGCCCCACAAGTGCCTCTTTTATCATTAAAGAGATCAAAAAGCCAAACATCCAGACTGCACCAAACAGGAACCATTTCTGATGCACAATCAAACACTGACACAGAAAGTTTAGATGATTTTTTGTTTTCCAGAAACCTCGGTGAATTGAGTTCTCACAACAAACCACAAGGAAGCACAATGCACTTGCAACTTCAGCAAAAATGTGAGTTTGCATTTTTAACGGGAGAGTTGCAAAGAAAGCAGAAAGTAAGAGCAGCTGATTAAAGCTGCTGCTCCTTCCCAACAGGAAAAAGGCCTGTTGAGCTCGACAAGGTTTCCGTGGAAGGTTAAAGGGAGAGGGGAAGAGGGAGCCTTCCTTGTTTTGTCTCTTGGTCCCTACAAAGCCATTTTCTCTGGTTTTTAAGTAGCTTGTCATCTTTAAACAGAGAAGGAACCAGGTCTGTAGATGACAAGGTGAAGCTCACCTGTGCTTCCAAGGGTAACCTGGAGGGGAACACCCTGTTTCCTTTGCCCCATTCCAACAGTTTCATTACACAATGAGCTCTCCTGGTGCTTTTCTCCACACAATATGCAGACAGAAGGAATTCCTGACTGAACTTCTCGACATCTCTCTATCTCACAAGAGATTAAACTCAGTAAATGAAATCTAGAAGAGGAAACATCTTGGACTTGCTGAGACTAACCCAGAAATGGGGCCAAGCCACAAAGTCCTTAATAAATGTAGTTCAAAGAAAAACAGCCACACAAATCCACCTATAGACAGGCTTCCAGCAGAATCCATTCACACCTCTGGAATGTAAAACTCCAACCAGGGTTTGTCTGCACTGATATCTGCCCTCCACATCAGCCTGAAGGTAAATATATACATAATCCAGCTAAGCACAGATCAGAAATATATAAAAAGCCTTTAATATCAAGTGTGAAAATTAACATTAAACACAGGAAGTTCACCAGGCACTTGCATAAAATCTTAATTAACAGTACTAAAGACAAGATATATAGTTAGATTAGACATTTACTGTAAGTAACATGCATATAAAGTGAGGATTTGAAAACAGGTATTATTTCAGTCAATGTGTGATCTGTCTCTACAGACATCAATCTACATAAAGATATCCCTGCCTTCCTGCTTCATCTCTCAGGGGAAATACACATAAATACCTAGAGATCTGCTCTCCTTGCTATCAGGTTGGAATGAGAGGCAGGTGATCCCCAGGGACCTGGATTCCAGGATAAATCAGGTTCTCGCCAGTCTGCAAAGAGAAGGAGCTGCCAGATGCTGAGCAGGGAAGAAGCTCCTCCAGACAGACACAGACACCACACCTGCACACACTCAAACACAACCCCAACCCCAACAGGGAGCCAGCTCCTATTTATGGCAAAGAAGAAGGATTCCCGTTGCCTGACGCTAAATTCACATCCCTGTTTTCTTGGCACAGCTCGTTACGTGCACAAATCCAAGCCCACTGTGGTTTAGAAAGTCTCGTTTTCCACAGACAGGTCAGAAATTCAGGATAAAGAAAAACTGAGCACAAACCTTCATATAAAAATCGGGGCTGTAATCCAGAAAAAAATCACAGCAAAGGCGTTTTTCTTACACCAGATCCCACACTACTGGAGACATTTTCTCTCTTCATAAATAATTCCCAGAGAACAACTGGCTGACCAGAGGGTGTCATTACACTGCCTGTGATATAATATCCAACTGCAACACAAACCTTGTTCCCAAATCCAAACAGGAAAAGGGGCAACTGTACATTGTGGTCACTTGGAGGAGAGCACTGAGAGGAGAGCAGCAGCTTGGCACTACACATAAAAGCCAACAAGTAACACACTTATTAGCTCTCTTTCGCTATTGTACAGCAGAGAAAACAGCAATTCATGGGAATTAAACAGCCAAATGAAGACACTGAAATTACCATCAATGCCCTTCCTCAACCTTCAAACTTATTTAGGAAATGAGCTACAAATACAGGTTGGCAAAGGGTTTGAAGAACAGGGTTAACTCCAGAGGAAAGATTTCGTTTCCATTTTTCACAGCTTAAATGCTTGTCTTCTTCAGTGTAATTTCTGAGAAGAGGAAATGGTTCAAAATTCAAAGTTTTGGAAGCTTTCCACTCCCTTTTACAAATGAGAGAACAAGGTCAGCTTTCACAGACAGCAGGTGGCCAAATTATTTCTTTATTTAAAGAGTTAATGCTGAAAGATAATTCTCCTCCAGATGGATGCATATTCATGACTCCCAAGGTTAGATTCTGCAGTGGTTTTACAGTCATGTCTCAGGCTCAGAGACAGAGAGAGAGTAATTCCAGCTTGAATGGACATTCAGCCCTAAAAGAGATTTAGGGACACCAATCTGTTGAAGTTTTCTCCGTGACACCTTTTCCCACTCCAGGTCTCTTTAAATCACCAGTAGTTGAGCTCAATGGGGAGTTTATTCCTCAGAGGGCACGGAAAGAGGGGTGAGGAGCAGAAATGTCACAGCATCAGGACACAGCAGCACTACCTGCCCACGTTATTTTGGGACCTGCCAAGCCAGAGGCGCTGGTGGTGCTTTGATATCCACAGCTCCATTTGACTTTCCAGC